CAGCACAGCCTTCCCGAGCACTAGCCCCTTACCAAAGTCACTGAAGAAGATGGCTGAAGAAGAGCTTATAATTTAAGATATATCAATGACCATAAAGTTCAGTACTGCAAATGAAATTACTTTTTTTTTTTTCCTAGCAAGCATCTCTAGAGTTGTTGACTGCATGTCAGAGTGAATGTTTAAATACCTCAAATCTATCTCATGGATGTTCTATCTTCCATGAAATCATTTGACAAGATCGAACATTTTACAATTCCTTGGGTTTCCTTCTAGTTGCTGCACAATCTATGAGCAATTGGAACTCTGAGAAATACCCACTACAATCACATACACAAAGCTAAACTAGCAGCTAGAACAAGACTACCACAATTTCTAACTAGTGCCCAAAGGCCCTGCTTAAGTTCCTGGGCTCTGCAACAGCATACAATACACAGTCAGGTACAGCAAGCAGGTATGGCTTAACAAAAAGCATGAGTCATGTCTCCCACTGGAGTCCCAGACTTCAGAACTTTTGTGAAGCAAAATTCCCCTACCGGTTTCATGCCAGGAGCACAAATCCAAGAGCAGATTTCTAGCAAAGCACAGTACAGAGAATTTTTGTGAATCACTGCCACAATAGGCGTTGGTGACTGTACTAGTTATCAGCTGCTGTTCCTTAACTAAGAAGTAAGAAATTAATTAGACAACTCGTGCTACCGTGTGACAGAAAAAAGATCAGCCTTCCCATTTCACAGCAAGATATGTTAAAATCAGAATGATTTTTGTAAACATTATCTTTCACTGAAAGGATTCAGAATATTTATTTCAGAAAGGTTAACCTTCATAAAGGGACAAAGTATACCCTTTCCACGCTTATAGGCACAAATCTGGTATCTCATCCTATCTCAAATGTCATACCTACTTACAGTTCCTTTAGAACCAAAACCTTCTGATGTGCCTGGCCCAAGTCTGTCAGGGAGAGAAAATGATTCAGCCCATGTAATTTTAGATGTCTGTACCTGATCTAGTCAGACTCCTTTTGTCATCAGTAGGGAGAAAAACACCTATCTAGAATACAATAAACCCCACCCCAACGCCAAAATAATTCTGGAGATCTTAAATACGTTGTTATTTCTTGGTGTTCTTGCCAATGCATATTTACTGAACCATCGCCACATTTTATACTTACTTAAATGTCAGACTGTTCAGAGCAGATGGTATTTTTGTGGTGTGTTCACACAAGTGCCTAGCAAACAGCAAGCATTCACAGACACTAGAACACTTGAAATAAAACATGAGCTGAAAGTAAGGAAGCTAATGCAAAACACAGGATTTCAAACTATTTCCAATGTTGAGAATGATGGTTCAGCATGATAATAGCATAATTGCCACAAAAACAAGTAACACTCACTAAAAAAAAAAAACAAAACAAAACAAAAAAAAAAACAGAAAAAGCAGAAAAAACCCAAACCAACCAACCACCCAAAACCAAAACAAAAAACCCACAGCCCACAAGAGACTGGAAGGTTTTAAGGAATGAGAGAATCTATACTCCTTTTCATATGTTGATAAATTGCCACAGTGTGAAAAAAGTAAAATTTAATTTTAAGGTGAGCTTTATTTGCCTTAGGGACACTTTTTAATCTCATTTTTCTTCCTAAGAAAGCTTTATTGTATTTCAGCCCTATGTCACTACAATCATCATCAAGCCAAGTCTCAGTCTTCTTTCTTCATAATACATTTTTTATGTGTGTGTATATATACACATATGTCTGTGTGCATCTATATACATGTGTGCAAATATGTGTGTGTATATATATATATACACACACACACACACGCACGTCTCTCTACTGCTGCAAATCTTTCTGAGGACTTTGGATTAATCTTCTCAACTTTGCTCAATTTGCTCTCTAGTTTTCCAGAAACACTGTAAGTAATACTTGAGCTGAGGAAGTTGGGCTTCTTTAGCTTGGAGAAGAGAGTGCTCTGATGGCACCTCACTGCAGCCTTCCAGTACATGAATGGAGCATACAAGCAGAAGGGGGACCAACTTTTTACATAGTCTGATAGCAATAGGACAAGATGGAATGGCTTAAAACTAAAAGAGATGAGATTTAGGTTAGACATTATGAAAACATTACATTTTTTTTACTCAAACTGGTGAGGCCCTGGCACAAAGTTGCCCAGAAAGGTTGTGGATCCCTGGAGGTATACAAGGCCAGGCTGGATGGAGCTGTGGGCAGCCTGATCTCGTGGGAGGGAGGGGGTAGTCCTGCACACAGCTGGGGGGGTTGGAACTAGATGATATTTAAGGTCCCTTCCAACACAAACCAGTCTATAATACAGACACTACATCGTGGTATCGCACTCAGATGTCACTTCTATCACGACTAAGTAGTCATTTTAACTTTTCTTGAAAAGGTCTGCTCGAAGAAGAGCACATATTTATGCATCTGGTCTCCAAAAATATTCCCCAAGTAATGGAATTCCAGAAAGCACTGTCCGTGGTGTCAGCATAACTTGAATTATTTGATGTAAAAAGATAAGATCTTTATCTTACATACACTGGAATTGAGTATTAACAGATCTGTTGTATTTTTTCCACCTTGTGGAATCCAGCAAGTGTTTTAAGTGACTAAAAAATATCTTCAGTGGACTAATCATTTTTTCAGCCAACCCTTGCAGGTTTTCAACTGAGACGTTCTTAAATTCAGGGTGAACATTTCTGTCCAACGATCAAGAAAGACATTGCTAACAAATATTTCTGCACTATTTTCCATTTTACCATCTCTGCTAAGCATGAGATAGGCTTGTGTTAATTGCCAGACTGCCAGTTTCTAGCTGTAATTACTACTTGTCCTTAGCATTACCTTTCTCAGCCTACATCCCCCAGTAAACATCACTGGACACTCCACAGCACAGTGACCCACAACCTTGCAGCCTTAAAAATAGGAGAGAAATCATGTAAGAAAGTCAGAACACGCTTGTTCTGTAATTGAGAGTGGATTTAGTTTTGATTCACCTGGCCAAGTGAGGCTTTCCACACTTGCATTTGCTAAAGTTTACTGACAGTTCTGATTGTAATGTTTTTTTTTTTTCAATGTTTATAAAGCTGCCAGACTTACCACTTTCCATGTTTCTAACATGAAAAAAAAAAATCCCTATGTTGATTTCAGCCAAAATAAATTCTCCTTCAGGAAAAAATACTCTCCTGTCTACTCTGAAACAAATCTCTTATCTCTGTGCTTTGCATCAACGGCTTCAAAATCAGTCAGCTAAGCACTCAAATCTGTTTTCAAAAACTGCATTTTCCCACAATACAGAGAAAAGAGATGTCTGACAATACTAAAATAAAGATGAAAGATCAGGTGAAAGACTGGAAACAAGAGAACATTATTCAGCAATACATTTCTCCCTCAGACACAAAGCCAGTATCAACTTTCTTGTTTCCCATATAAATGTTACAGTAATTATTTTCAACTTTTGTAAAATAGCAGAATGGACAAGTAGTGAACATGTCTTCAACTAAGGAAATGCACTTACTTTGCCTAATAGGTAGAACTATAATAATTATTTGTCAAAGTCAACCGAACCAAGTGAGTTCTTGAATATTCAGTATAAACTCAACATTTAAGAAGAGAATGAAGCTCAACCATTAGAGCAGCATCAAAGGGAAACTAAGTCAAAACTGAAATAATGGTGATGACAAATTCTGTTAAATTTGGGCAACTTACAAAAGCCTTCTAGTAAAAAAGCAAGTTGACAGAGTCAGTAATAAACTGATTAAGTCTTAGCAGCTTCAACTTTCTAATATTCCATCTGTTCTGTACATGTGCCAGTCTGGGTCTTTGCCAGACACGAGGACTGTGACGTTCTTTTGTATTGCCAATAACAAGACATCCCTGCTATGCTCTGTCAGCAAAGAAGAGCTAGTCCTTTGTGAATGTGGAGGCGACAAACTTGGAACTTTGTAGGATACGATTAATGCAGACAGCCTGGTAAACAGAAATTTAGCTTGCTTGTCAAGAAGAATAGGCTATATGGATGAATAAATGGGAATGGGATGTGGGAATAGAGCCAAAATATTATGTAATGATACCACTAGGGGAATCAGAAAGTGACAACTTCTGGAATGCTTAGTGAGAAGGTGAAAGCAGAGCACAATAATTATTATTATTATTTTTTTTTTTTTAAGTCAGACAAACAACTTTCAAAATGTATGTGAATATTTCAGAATGAGGAATCTTGCCAAAGAATCTGTAAAGACAATAAATGATCAAGCTGTAAGAGGCACACTCAAACATGACCATTTTCCTGCTATTATCTCTGCAGGAATATTTTTTTGGTGTTCAATATGGAGGAACTTGGTGAACTTGCACGCTTCTTCAAAGAAGACTCAAAGGATCTGCTTCAAACAGAAGCGCTGGTTGAACTTAAATAAACAAAATGAAAAGTTACTTAATCCTAAAACTTTGAAGGAACAATTGATGCCACTGAAGGATGTAACAGCTAAACTACTCAAGAACTACACAGAATGACTGAAGCTGGCAGAGCTGTCTGGGTCTATCTGCTCCAATCCCTGCTCAAGCAGGGTGCCCAGGACCACATCCAGGCAGCTTCTGAAGGTCTCTAAGGAGATTTCATTGACAGCCATGCACTGCAAGAGGACTGGAGAATAAAATACGGGAAGAAAAGATATGTGGAAAAGTGGCAAAGATTCTTTTCTGTGTGTTTTTCAGTACCGAATCCAGAGAAGTTTCTCTTCCTCATAACAAACGAGTGTTTCTTGGATACTAATACCTTTAGCTTGACAATTCTGGTGTCAGAGGTGTGTCTCAGAAGTGGTGTGTTTGGGGAAAGAGTATGTGACAACTCCCAGATTTCATGTCTGTTTCCAGATAGCACATAGCCTACTGTTAAGTAGGGTTCAACAAACAAACAAAAAAAACCCAACAAAAACAAGGGAATACCAGTTAAAAAATAGAGTAAAATACCAAATGGAAGTGTTAGGATCTCACCTGTATTAAGTACGATCCAGTGGAATCTGCACTGGAACTCTCATTTTGTATCGTATTCTGTTGGGTGATAGCATCCTCCTTCTTTCGCTCCTTCTGCCCTGCTTCATCATCTTCATATTCATCAAGGCTCTAAAACAAAAAAATATTCAGTTATAAAATCATCTTTCTATTTTGCTTCACGTGCTTTTCATATTTCATAAAATTCATGCATCAGTGAAGCAACAGTCTAAAAGATTAATTTTAATTTTTAGAAAAGTTTAATTGAATTTTTAATGGAGCTTGATATCTCCGGTACAAGAATGAAGTTTGACAACTGCTTTTTTTCTTAATTACAAAAAATGAAATAATCAAGATTCAGCTTGACAGAGCCCTTCGCAACGTTGTCTGAGTTCAGCGTTACTCTTGCTTTGAGCAGGAGCTTAAACTGTACCTTCCACTTGAATGATTCTGTGATTTTACAGCCCCATTTGTCCAAGACAATAATTTTACCTCTACATAACTGATCTGAAAGAAGTAGAGAAAAGGAAAAATACAGAAAGAATTCATTTTACTCTCAATAGCTGATTTTTTTTCTAAATTTTTACACAGTGAGTGAGAAGTATCAGGAGTATCACACTGAATCATCCATATTACCATTGTTCTCCTTAACTCTGAGTTCATCCTTGAAAATTTATTGTCAGAAAATAGTCATTTTGAAATCAGCTGGGCATTCGTATAAGGTAGTAATAATTTACACAAACATGTAATCTTGCCTTTTCATACCACATTTACTGAAACGCTGAGCTCAAAAGGACTACATTTCTAAAGCACTGACTGTTGATAAATGAGATCCAAAAAATACCATGAGGACAGAAGGCAGAAACACTGCCCTTGTGCTAGCTCAAAGTCATGCTGAAGCCAGGGCTGAAACAGCTCAGCCAGTTTTGCACTAGGTCAGCTGCGTCTAGATTGGTCTGTATTAGTTTAACTTATAGAAATTTACAGAAAGTATTTGGAAGACCATCTCGACTCAGACACGAAGCTCCAAAACCATTTGTCCACAACATCACAAACTGTTGGCTAGCACTCGGTGTTAAAACACCACCACAGCAAACAAACAATTCTAAGGCTTTTGAGAAAGCTTCCAGATGAACGTGCCACAGCTTGAGAAGCAGAGGGCAACAGGGGCGAATGTAAAATGATTTGAATTCCAATTTCTAATGCCCACAAAAGATATATCACTAATCTGAGGTTTAGATAGTGACAATTTTTCACATCATCTTACCTAGAAGATACAAGAGTAGACAAAAGCCTACAAGGAAAATGCTGAAATGTAGCATTTTTGTAAAGAAAAAGGTGTTATTTAGTAACTGAAAATCACATTAGTGTATAACAAAGTAAATTTGGCTGCTGCAAAGCAAGCATTGCTGTGACAGAAGTGCTAAAAAACAAACTGAAATGGCACGCACTTCCAAAAGCAAACAGAAGTGAACCCAAATAATGGCCACTTACGTTCTCTGCAGCACCACCCAAGGCAGAATCCTAATGCAGTTTCACTAGTGTACTTTTAATCAACGTCTTAATGCAATTACTGTAGACCTGCCTACTTCTATCACTTGAGAATAGCACACTTAAAAAGTGGTTATTATGGCTGAATCATCATCATACACTCAAAAATATTTTCAGAAGGTGATCTTCTCAAATTAAATTATTATAAATCAAAAATATTTCACTCCGTTGCCTCAGTTCTGTTACTAACAGAGAGTTTCAAAAACAGTCATAGTACGTTCTAGGTGCTGATTTTTAAAGCAACATTCTCCACCTTTTATAAACTGTAAAAATGAAAAGTTTTGGGAATATAAACCTCAGCCTGTATTTTATCTAATCCCACCATTCAGGTAGCCCATTCTGAAGTCTCAGTATCAAAAATAAACCTAGGCCTCTGCCACAAGAAATGGAGCCATCTTCTTCTCTTGACAAGTTCAGAAAGAACCACAAGGTTCACAGAAGGTCTGACATAAATTAAAACTAATGTCAAGGCAGGTGAAGAGTGATATTCTATTTGAAAAACAGAAAAAAATGTTTGATTGTTCTTCTATCCTCTAAGTTGTTTCTGTAAAGAATTAAGATCTCAGATAAACTCAAATGAAAGAGACAATCTGAGAGGAACTGGAGAAGAGCAGCCTCTAATAAACCAAGGAGAAAATCAACAGGATGAAGAACACTTATCGTTGCAGACACTGAAAAAAGCTTTAAATTTTCAAGGGTCTGCATTCTTTAAAGAAAAACATAAAACTCAAATTCCAATGCTGTAGGAACAACAACAACAAAAAAGAGTCTTTGTAATGACCAAGCAGACACAAGTGCTCCTTTCTTCCCCAATTCTCTCCTTCAGATGCACACCTCTTCAGTTTTCTTCTAGAGACCATAAGCATCTCACAGAAATACTTTTCCCTGAATACAATTACATCTCTGAGAAAGAATGTTTTCCTCTCTTTTCATATAACATCACCTGGTATCAACCCTTCTCTCAGGGTTCTTAGACAGGAACAAAATGCCATCATCTGATAGGAAATCTCCAGGCACAGAATGTTAAAATTGGCACTAGCAGTCAGGATTTGCCAGGAAGGTACATTCCCACCTGCCTTCCTCCTCAGGAAAGGCAAAGAACAGAGAAGGCTTTCAATCAGCACCATCGCAAGGCAGTCAAAACCTCAAGGAGTTCATACTGCAGCCAAAGGCTTCCTTCCCAAGCACAGAACTTGTTATCTGAGCAACTGACGTAAACACAGGTTGGAGAATAAAGACACTTCTTTGAGGGCTGTTGGAATCTGCTCCCACCTCAGCTGACATCACCAGAGCAGGCCCCCAAGGAGCAGGGCCCAAGCACTCTGCGCGACAGCAGGGACATCCCTTGCCCACAGCAGCAGGAGAACGGACTGAGGTGCAAGCCTAACCCATTAGATAATTCCCCCATCAGCTCCCTTCCCCCTGCTTTTTATTTTCCTGCTAGGCACATACCATTGCAGATTCTTATTTTCCATTAAAATCATCTGAGTTTTGTACAGCAGACATTCAATGTGACATTCCCACATCTGATCTTAATATAGGGAATCCACAGAAATTCTTTAGGTTTTCTAGCATTTCAGTGTATGTTTGAAGCTGTAGTATAAACATTTTTCTGTAAACCTCTAGTATGGAAAATACAAGCAGAATAAGATGCTTTCAAAAGGATCAGGAGGATGAAGGAAACAGCCCCAAAGACAGCCCTACATTCCAGCACACCGCTGGCCCGCAGCTGAAGCAATGCAGTACAAAAACATCTCAAGTGGTTCACTGGGTTGCTTCCTATGAGCACTTGAGCATCGCTAACAACAAACACCAACTGGTTTTCTCCAAAAGAAACAAGCAGCATTTCTAAATGTAAGAGATCAGCTTCTAAACGGGCACAGACAACTCTAGTCACAACTGCACTGATGGAAAATGTCCCTGTCCCCAACTCCCTGCTGCAGCACCGTGCCTCACAGGTCTGCTGGCAGAGCACCTATCTGGGAGCTTCCCTGTTCATTTCATGAGAAATCTCTCAGGCTGGTTTCAGCAGATCTAATGAGCCCAGGTTAATTTCCCTGAGCCAGATGAGACTGTGTTCGAGCTGTTTACTTCGCCCAGCTCCCGGGATGGCTGCAATACATCAGTTTTTCAGAAATGATGAGCACTTGAGTCAGCAACATATTTAAACAGTCCAGCAAGACGTGCAAGCAGAGATACACAGTCAGTAAAACTCAGTTTGTGTTCAACTTTGCATTTGGGCAATAAACAGAACGTCCACAACGTAAGCACCATCAGTTACCCTGGCATTTCTTCAGCTCCTTAAGCATGCTAACAATTTAGGAGAAGAAGTAAATCTAGGTTTCTTCCCACTGCACTAAAACAACTTTGAACAATTTTAAATAAGATATTAGACGCTTTCTGTGTTTAGTAGAAGCCTGAAGTATATGATTATAACTTCTTATCAAGATGCTGGAAAAGTGCCAAGGTTTCTAATAAATTTAAGCATTTCCTAAATCATCCCCAGTGGAAATGCAAGAAAAGATAAAGAATTCCTTTCTTACTCTGCACTAAAATGTGACAAGACAATTGACTATAACAAAGTACTTTTTGGGAATCAACAGCATTTATCCCTCAGCTGGCCATTCAGAAAAGCCTTAGAGTTCCCTGCAAACAAGGCTATTTCACACATCACTTCTTTACAATCGCTGTTCTTCTCACAGCATGGAGAACCAAATGCTTTCTATCTTTATCACACAGAGCTGCAGTATTTGCTAAATGCCCCGCTCCCATCTCTGCACATGTCAAACCTTACTGTCATCATCCTCCAGAATGCACTGCACAAAACAGGCAAAAATCCCAAATCTCAGTGATTTGAGACTATGTAACATTTCTACTTCAGAACCTGAAGTATTTATGTGAAATGGGCTTAGGGTAATATAATCTTACATTGGAACAACAGTCTAATTGGAAAAATTACATCTTTTTCACTACACGAGCCTTTTATCAGGCCCAGCTTGCCTAAGTGTTTTTCTTTACATCTTGAAAAATCTCCCTGTAGGGGCAGAAAGAGCTACAATTATTCACAGTAGTTAAACTAAAAATCTACAAACGGTGCTATGAGTATGGATTACACAGAAAAAGGCATACACATTTTAAAAGAATATTTGACCTTAATTGTCATGTTTTTAGAAGAGCCCGAAAAAAGGATACTGGACTCAGACACCTTACCTAAACAAGGTCTGTATGCTCCTGAAAGTCTATATACCCAAATGGAGCAGTCCAATATCAACAATTAGTGTGATAACAAGAATAGATTTTTAACCCAGAGAAGGGATAAAGACAGGAATCTTTGGTATCTGAGATCAAAGAGACCCCAATGCAGCAATGGGTCAGCGAACAGCAGGTGGGCCACAACACAGCTGACTGCAGCCCTGGGATGCACTCATCCCAACCACTCAGCCAACAAAGAGCAGCAAAGGGACAGGCGTAGCTTAAAGGACACTGACATGCACATCTTGCTCCAGAGATCTCATGGTATTCACGACTCAATGTCACATCTACATTCCACCTAACCTTTTCTCACCCAAAACAAGAACCCT